CTTATCCAGAACTTCTCTCCAACGCATATCAACGTATCTGACGTGTTCCAGACGAGCGCTGAACGTGTTTCTAACTTCCAGCTACTGTATAATGGTGTATTGGCAGCATTTTGGTATAAAGGGGATTCTCACAGGAGGAAACCGTCAGTTCTCCTCCAGAAGGTGAGTGATGGATCCTCCCTGCGTTCACGCCCACCACCAACACACTTCCTAGCAGACATGACGCTCAATCAGCTGCCACCAAAAACCTTCTCTTTTTTTTTCTTTATTCTTTATCGGCGGGCGGTACGCAGCAACTAGGTTATTACCGCAATCAAATAAATCTTTTCATGCAGACGGGCGCCATCGGGTCATTGCTGAGGACACTGCCTCGTGCATCATTTCATGGGCAGTACGTTGCCGTGCGTTTTGCAAAAGTTAGGCTGTCGTTGGACATCATTTCAGGACTCTTTATGAATACTCTATGTATACGCACAAAACTTGAAAAAATATATAGAAAGTTTAGCGTATGCCAGCGTTTTAGGAGATTTTAGGAGATCAGCCAGCGTGTAACGGGGACTAATCTCTTAACTGAGATTAGTGGAGAGTTGGAGCAAATTGCTTCTCTGAACGTATACAAAGCTGACTTAACAATAGGCACATGTTAATAGGAAACATTAGTTAACAGATAAGACCTTTTGTGTCAGACAGGTAGTCTTTGCTTCACTAATTCACCGAGGAAGCATTCAGAGAGAGTGAATCCAGTCAGTTTAAAAGCTGGAGAAATTACACTGCAAAAACGATCTAGAAAAAAGTAAATATTTCTTAAATTAAGTGTATTTTACCTCAATTTGAGCAAGTAAATATTTTAAATAAAATTATTAGATAATATGCATTTGAAATAAGACAATGCAATTGTTTTTTCTTATTTTAAACGTAAATTGTCTTGTTCCATTGGCAAAGTGTCGCTCATCCCTCCTCAATTCAAGAAAAAATTATTTTAAGAAAAGATGAAAAGATGACTTATTGAGATTTCTTTTTTTTCTGCAGTCTAAAGGACTAAACTGCAAAAACAATCTAGAAATAAGTAAAAATGTCTTAAATTAAGTGTATTCACCATTAATTTGAGTAGGTAAATGAGATAGTTTACTCTTAAAATAAGATAATTAGATAATATGCACTTGAAATAAGACAATGCAATTATGTTTTCTTATTTTAAGTGTAAATTGTCTTGTTCCATTGGCAAAATATCTCTTTTACCTCCTCAATTCAAGAACAAATGCACTTATTTCAAGAAAGAATGACTTATCTAGATTTAGATATTTTGCAGTGCAGGGCAGTTGAGGTTGTGCATTGGAAAAACGATCTAGAAATAAGTTAAAATTTTCTAAATTAACTGTATTTACCCTTAATTTAAGTAGGTAAATTAGACAGTTCGCCAATGGAATGAGTATTTTTACCCTTAAAATAAGGTAATTAGAGAAAATGCACCTGAAATTAGACAATGAAATTATGTTTTCTTGTTTTAAAAGTAAATCGTCTTGTGCCATTAGCAAAATGTATATTTTCCTCCTCAATCCAAGAACAAATGCACCTATTCTAAGAAAGAATGACTTGATCTAGATTTCGATTTTTTCCAGTGTAGAAAATTAAGCACTGCAAAAATGATCTAGAAATAAGTAAACATTTCTTAAATTAAGTGTATTTACCCTTGATTTGAATAGGTACATTTGATAATATGCCAAATGGAATGAGTATTTATACCCTTAAAATAAGATAATTAGATGAAATGCACTTGAAATAAGAAGATGTAATTGTGTTTTCTTATTTTAAATCTAAATTGTCTTGTTCCATTGGCAAAATGTCTCTTTAATCTCCTCAATTTAAGAAGAAATGCACTTATTTTAAGAAAAAATGACCTATCTAGATTTTGATTTTTTCCAGTGTACCTCCTCAGAACCCTGTTTGGTTTGGTTTGGTTTGG